TTGGAAGGCTGAGGTTTCGGCCTGGTTAGGTTTGAAAATGCTGCGAGTATATCCTGGAATTTCACAGTGGTTACTGGTGAAGTATGTATCGAATTTAGAGAGACGATATGACTTTCTCTGCCTTTTGTGTAACTCGTAGTTTCCTTCAGTATCAAACGTCGTTTTTTAGTGTCGACTAGAAATTCATATCTCTCTAAAAAGACCATTCTCAGGATTGCCCGATCTAAATCGGCCACGATGAACACCCACGAAAATTGCCTCCTGAACCCCGGGCCTAGCGTCAAACCTTTCTGTCTGAACGTCGCGACCTTAGCCTTGTCAGCAGCTGGAAGCTTTACTGGAGAAGTTTTTCCACCCATTTCAGTTTTGCTCTGAGGATTGATACCAAGAGCACCACGAGTATCCATTGAAATATTCCAGCCTGAATGTCTATCCTCAACATGAAACAAGTGACTACTTAGGGACTCCTCCTCAGTCGCCGTGGCCTGGTGGGGGATTCTTTTCATTTATTATTAGGAGTCTGTTTAGGTCAGGCACATGGTTGACTGTGTAGGGCCAGTGAAATGTCATTGAGCCCTAACGAAATCATACAGTAGTTGGATTGCTGAACGTAGAAAAGTTTGTCGGTTTCTACCAAGATCAAGGACAGCCAATGCACATCAGTTAATTGCGCACCGTGGATTGGCTCCTGTGGTGATGGTCTCAACGTCGCCCTTGTACATGCTTTTACTAATACATTTCCGTAATAACATCCTTTGTGTGATATGATCTTTAAAGCAATCATAGCATCTTGATACGACGAAGAGGTAATCCACGTTAGGTGCTTACCGCGATGTGTGACTTCGAAGTCAGCTGTCGGTCACGCCATTCCCGTCTAACTCAAATAGGTCTCCAATCACTCGACATAGATAATCTACGTTGTTGATCTACAACCAATCAACCTATGTCACTACTTTTACATTCCAGATTGTTACCATTTCAATTCCTTTTTTCCAGAAAACATAATTCAGTGATTTGTTGATATGTGATTGATCCATCTTGATCTTGTGGTACAGGTCTTACATCAGGGCCGTTAGTTCTTTCCCTGTGGACTTCTGCATGATAGACAGCAGTGTCTCACTAAATTGATGCTTATCATCTTTAGTGTTATCACTGGAGTGTGTGTATCGCTTGATGACATTCATTGTAATTAATTACTACTTTGTTTCCGGGCGTGCACCATTGACCTCGAATTTAAAATATTTTCATTCAATGAGACCTTTTCATGCTTCCTCGGAGAGCATCATTGTAGAGTGGTTTCTCGTTTATGGATAGGATATAATGGCATCACTACTGGGGTTTGTCTCTTTTGTCTAGGTTGTGTCTACTGGGTTTCACTTGTATTAAGTAAACTCAGGTCATATATTGCCGTCTCTGCGGCTTTCTTATTTACCCGTTCTTTCCTTTACATTGTCCAACCATCCCACGTAACTATGTTGGTCGTTGCCCTAGTTAACAGAAGGGATACTAGCTTTGTAGCTTTCAGAGGCTTACGTACTTACTGAAAGATACTGTATATTTTCTAACTAAACACAGGGCACAGGGTTAATGGTTTCAATTATTTCTGCAGTCTTTTTCTGGCGAAGTTACTTTTTCAAGGTGCGGTTATTAAACGTAAACCTAATCCTCCTCTTCTGCCTGTTCTTTAGACCAGAACTAGCCCTAAGTAGATGCAGGAAATGCTAGCGAGTATGTAGAAGACTGGCTAGAAGAAACTTTACTGGGGCTGCGATTTTCGGATTACAATAAATCCATGAGTGTTCTACATTGGAATACAAACACGTTTTCAAGAATATAATCAATTTATTTCATTCATCTAGCTTTCTCAAGTTACACAGTAATTTGAGAGTGCCAGGAGGTTAAATGTAACCGAAATGTGTGTATATATGTTTGATTAGCTCTTAAATACACTAGCTCCACTGAGCCAATCAGACGATGAAGCAAAATAAATAGATCTACGTTCTGGTAATACCTCACGAATAGAAGTACAAACACGTGAGTGCATTAGGCATTCAAAGAACGGGAAGACATACCAACAGAAGCCAAGTGATCAGCCGTAGAATTCCACATGTTCCCTTCTGTAAGATTACAAAAAAATAATAAGGACTAACAGACTGGTAAGATGGATACTTCATTAAAGCACTGGGGGAAAGTGACTTTGAAAAGTGTGAAGTCTACAGAAGCATCTCAATGCAATATGTACCATCAACAGTTTCCTGCAGGGTTGCTAAACCAAAAAAAGAACCAGTCGAAGCTTAACACTTTGAGACTGACAAGCTGGCATGCTCAAAGACTGATGGCGTATCGGCTTAAGTGTAGCAATGTGAATCATAGCTGAACAATCAACCGAATGAAACCTAACACTATTTATCAACTCATTTGATTATGAAAGATCACTCAACATTGTGGGTAGAAATATCTTGTGGAGTCTTCGACACCATGGAGTACCTGCGAAAATCGTCATCGTCATCATCATCATCATCATACAGAACTCCTACGAAGAGGTGAATTGCAAAGTCACTCATTGAGAGTAGCTCACAAATCCATTTCAGGTAAGGAATGATGTTAGACAAGGTTTCCCACTCTAGTCTCTTCTCTTGCTTCTGCTTGCCGAATAGATTACGAAGATATACATACCTCAAGAGGAGCACGGAATATAGTGGGCATGGCAACAGACGCAGACGAAGATAGGTAGTGTATTATCAGCTCTTGTGAGAGTAATTCTCAACATTCAAATGGGAATAAGCAACATCCTGAAGTACAACACGACAAGCTTCACATAAATTAAACTTGATAGCGAAGCTTTTGAAGGATCGAATACTTTACGTACTTGGGTTAGCATTATTGATAAACAAAAGGATCTTGATGCAAATGCCAAGGCACAAACTGTCAAAGCAAAGGCAACATTGCTATAATCAAAAAATATCTGACACTCAAACGAACTGTCATCGAACTTAAAACTTTCGACACAAAAGTTGAAACGTCTCTACTGTACGCAACTGAATCGTAGGCAACTCTAGGTAACCCTCGTGCTATTGATAGAAGAAATCAAACAAGTAGTGAATAGGTCTTTATTTATATCTTCACGCAGTCACAGTGAAGCGTGGGATTATTTGTTCAGACAAACAAAGCCTCTCAACATACAATATAAGATATTAGGAAATGTAACACCTATACAAAATAAGGAAGTGAATGAATACTTGAACTATACTTTTTTGGTATATGCTTGTTTGTTTGAGGTCAACTCTTTACCAACCAACGTAAGCTGCTACAGAACTACCCCAATCATTACCAAAAAAGCATTGGTATTTCCAAAAGAATTTTTACATCCACTGTCCGATGTTTATCAGAGATAACCTAATCTTGTTTGGTGCAACATACTTAGAGCAACACGAAGTCATTATTATGATTATTTTTGTTTCAGAATTTTAAAAAGGAAATCTATTTGGTAAAACCTGTTACACTAGTCTGATTGGCGCATGGAACAGTTGAACTCTCTCATCGGTGCAAAATCATCCGTTGCATATCAGCCTGCTAGATTTCTCTAAGAAATTTCTCAGAATAGAGCACTATCTTTGCTCTCAAAAACTGAATCATGTGTAAGTTGGAATCTAATAAAATATATGAAGAAGAATATCACAAGCTGTCAAGGTTCGACCTACTTTGTCTGATTGTTTCTCGATGACAAACTAATTTCATAGGGCCAGATTTTTGAATCATTCTTATTGTTTACCACTTACTAACATACTTCCCCCAACCCTCTAATTCTGTCACGTACGGATTGTTCAAAGTTTTTAAGGAAAATGCTTGACCAAGAATATACCTTGACTCTCATGATGATGGATACAAGGGAAATGAATGGACTAACAGAAACCTCATAGATACTAATAAATTCGTTGTCTTTATGATAAAAGCGAAAATACTCAATACACGTCTTGCTCCTTCGTGACTTCAGTACTACACTTTCTACGAACGAAAATATCCAGGACATTACTTTCTGCAAGAATCTAGGTATCCCCCCCTATTCGCGATTCGCAGCTAGCGAATCCCACTCACTTTCGAAGTTTCATTACATACATGAATGCAAGTAGCAGGGTCATGAATAACGGAGGTGCATAGCAGGATCAAAAGCACCTGATCAGGTTATAATGCCCGTTTGACGATCAGATATAGATTCAATGGAAGTATAGGAATAATAATCACTATAGGGCTGTGGATAGTGTTGAGTTTAGTTTCATATCATGAATCGACCAATGTTGGACAACAATCAAAAACCTGGAAGCACTGGATGGCCGTCTTGTCGTGATTGGGGACTCCTCAGCAGTACTAATTCACGACTACGCACGTGTAACTCAAACCCAGAACCTTCGGGTTCGAACCTCTAGCGCACTGAGCCGGCATTCAACGATGTTAATACCTAACTTCAACCAATCCACGATATTGCGCTGCCATCCACCATTGTCTTCAGTGAGTAACTATCTCACAACGGACCCGGTTGAACTTTATTGGCTATGGCTCTTCTCTAGAAATCCAGGAAATGCCTCTTGAAGCCAGGTTTTCAATGGTGATCTAGCACTGATCCATTCATGATATCAATAAAAGTAATTGCTCCGAGTAGGTTGTAGGACTTCCTAAAGGACGGAATGGTATCGGCACGTTCTCTTAAATTTTCCCCAATAAGTTTGGATTCTTGCTTTAGTTTCTTAGGTATTGAGATTGATTACTACAGGTGTCATTCCATGATCACTTCTTTTGTTAGTTAATTTGTTCTCATCCTATAGTTTCTATAAAAAATGACAGCAACCTTACCTCTCTGTTACCGAGAATGTTCCCCCACTACCCAGCTGCAATTATTGAAAGAATAAACAAATCATTAATCCTCTCTAGTTTTAGGTTTGAAGATTCGTTTGGCTGCAACACTATTTAAAAAACCCTCATTTGGCGGGGTAATTGATGTATTGATGTCTATAACCAAGGGGCCTGTTAATGTTCACAAGAAGGGGCTAACTTCGGCAGTTTATGATGTCCATGGACGGTAAGACTTCATGTTTTGGCCGTATGTAGTGTTCTTCAGCCGTATAGTTACTGGTGGATCAGATGGGAAAATCAAAATCTTCGAGTCACTTGATGACGCTTGTCCAGTGGAACACATCGTTGGAGAAAAAATCAATTCTGTTGCTTGCCGAGTAGGTATTTGACAATAATTTTATCTTCGGAATAGTATGAAAACGTCATTGTTGCTACTGAGGGAACTTACGTCCACATTCTTCAGATGGAAGATGGTCTTCCTGATGGTGTGGTTACCCGTTTTACTGCAGAAGTCAACCATTTAGCTATGAACAAAGACCTTAGTAAGACAGCTTTATGCAGTAGGTAGGATATGGCTTCACTTGGTTTATATAAGTAGTGATTTCTCAGTCAAGGTTGTGGATCTTTCCGGCCATGATAATGACCGGGAATTGGTTTTCAAGGGACATCAAGGAGCTGTCCTGAGTGTGGCTTTTGATCCTCTCGATGTGTTCGTAGCCTCTGCTTCATGCGATGGCAGTGTCCGTCTCTGGGATTTAATAATTGGGGAGGAAACAAAGTGCATTTATACGCTTGCGAAATGTAATGATCCTCTCTTTGCTCCAAGTTCCTGTAGATTATGCTGGGAGAGCACAGTTGGGAAGGTTTGTCCATTTCCATTCATGTTCAATTTACCAGTTTTTACTCGTGCCAGTTGATAAAGAAATCAAAATGTTTGAACGAGTGTGCTGGAGTTTACTTTGTTCCCTATCCTGCCCTTCAGTCACTCGTGCATACAATATATGCGCTTCTTCACGGGATGGCAATCTTATTTCAGGTGGATCATTAGATGGGTGGATTATTGTTTGGCGTGTTGAAGACAGACAAGCAATTCATCGGTATGATATTTCGTGTGTCTGACATACCTATTTAAATCTTGGTTAGACTATAATTTATGAACGACCATTGAGCAACGCCAAAATGACCTTGGTATGTCCACCTACTTACCAGGGTTAAATAAGGGTTATATATTAGTTTGAGGAATTAAGGTTAGGATTTACAGTTGAATGTTAGGGTCAAGGATTAGATTTGATGTTATCATCACGAACTGACACCATTTATAATACCAAAATGGTATTTGACCGAATGACTAAACGAATTTCGCTTCAAGACCTATCTTAAATGTGATTGGCTTGATCATAAATTATGGTCTCGCCAAAATCTTCGTAAGTTTAAGTACTCATCCAGCTGGTTGGTCACTTTCTTACTGCTTTATATATTATTGTTGGCTGTCACTAAACATATACCGTAACATTACTGGACTGATAGACCTATGATTGCCGAGTTACGTATTTGGATAACTGCTTTGAGACAAGTAGTCTTAACTCAATTCCAACGATGAATTTCGGCGCTATGAATCTACTGTTCATAGCTGTGGTCCGTATCCTAACACAAAGTACTTAAATTACTTCTTATGCAGATATATACAGGCGGCTACTGGGAATCTCTTCGTCATTTCGTTGCACGTCTGTAAAAGGATCTAAACATGCCTAAGATTAGGCGAAAAGGTGACCCACGTTATCCAACATGGTCGGAGAGAAATGTAAATAGATCGACAATAAGCCCCACTATTGGCTTTCTTGTGGACTCGGGTCGTTCGATCGGAACAGCCTTCATGTTCAAATTTATCCACGTGGTGTTTCCTTCTAATTTGTTACGTTTTTCTAAATGCTGGATTATTATTCACCTTACGACACTACGTCAGTATGTTTATTAATCGCTCGAAATTAGTAATTTATTTCCTGACTTTTCAGTGCTATTCGGAATTGACATACTGAATAACTTTCAAATTTTTCGTTAATAGTATTCGTGATCCGTCTCATAGTCGGATTTGTAGCTTATTTTGGCATCCTCTTGACAAAAATCTTCTATTCGCGAACGAAAATGGATCTGTGGGACTTGTTCACTCTCCAGACCATCAGGTATTTCTTTCTATTGTTTTAAACATTATTGGTGCCAGTATTGGATCTACCGAAATTCGTTTCAGCAGTTGATAAATCTCAAAATTAAAGATGTTGGATGTCAGCTACCTATTTAAACCCATGTTATCAACCACAAGAAAGCGAAAACTGTCATAAGCTCCAAGGAAATGGTTTTGACAGAATTCATTCTTGTAACCCTAATTGATAATGACAAAATGTTTAGGGGTGGTTTTCTATGTGTCCAGAATATTGCTCCAAACTAGTCTGCGCTGGTGTTTTGTTTGAGTATTGGTAGCAAAATAGTTTAGCGTATTGTTTACCCCATTTACTTTGCAACTGATTAAATTTGGGCTTGTAAAATCTTGACCCATTCATAACAATTGTTAGCACTATGATGTATTATATAACAGTTACAGGAAACTTAAGAATATCTGTCATTAGATGAAGATGCAGTGCAGAACTTTACATGAGGTTATGGAGCATGGCTCGTAAAAAGAAAAAAGCCAAACTACTGATATTTGATTAGTATCACAGGTGAAAAAATCGTGAGACGCTGAGATAAATATTGGGTTTACTTAGTTAAAGGGAGGAAATCAATAAAGGCCACTAAACATCCAGCATTTAAAAGTCCAGAGCAACTGCATATGTACAATTTCGATTGTTTTCGAAACGTCTCGTGTTGGTTTTCTAATTGCTAAGTATCCCAGTTAATCATATAGTTTACCAATCATATGTTTTAAGTTCCTTAAATGTCTTTAAGTTACGTAATAATCAATTTCACGTGTTTTATTTCGATGTGTAAAATTCAAACTACACTTGTTTTAAGTTTGATGATGTATTCTCATAGAGTACCATTTTGATTAATGTCAAACGCTTCCTTGTGAAAGTACACTGGGAACCTCATGGTCTCGTGGCCGTGTTTTGTGTGATTTCTTTATACTAACACCTTTAAAATGGTATATCTATCTGTTGGTGCTGTTTTTTGTCGTTCTAATTCTCCAAGCCTTCTTCTAGAGATTCATTGTCTCCAAATAGAATAGCTCAGTTAATGGGTTGTGATGAAGATGGTGATACTGCCGATCTTTTAAGTGCTGCTGCAGCTCAGGCGGAATCTAGCAGACTTTTAGCTGACGACGATGTCATCCCCCACTCAAACGAAGATGATAGTAATTCTGATTCCATTGATCTATCTCGAATCAAGTCCGATTACATGTCACTCAATGATGAAGCTGAGGAGAAACAAGCCCTGCAAAAATAGAAACCAAAGCGACTGTTCTTACTACAGAAGATAATATATGTCCAAAAAGGGATGACGTCACAATCCAACCTTTACAGAAGGCTTTCCAGTCAGGTGCAACACCACTTGGTGAGCAAAACGTATTTTTGGTGTAGTTTGGGTGAAAAAACGACCATAGGAACATGCCTTCCTTAGGCGGTTCTATGGATTTGGGCAAACAGTGGCATCAAATTTATTTGTTTATATGTTTGATTTTAAAACTTACAATATGTGAAGGCTTCACATAGTTATGTGAATATTTCTTTTTATCTAAATTCAAATCAAGTCCTGTAAAAATACTCGTATACATAGATTAATAATACCAATCGTCTGGAGACTTGATATCGCCATTTAATATCCCTTTAATCTCCTTCATATTCTTTTGATTTTATTGGTACGACCAAATGCCTTTAGTTCGGGACTACATGACAATCGGAACCATTATATCAATTAAACATGCATATTACCAGTTTTCTAATTGTCCAAAGAAACTGATAATGTTGTATACTTTGTATTAAATTGAGATTTGATAAAAATGAACTGTCACTAGTGGACTTTCTACTTTAATATTGTGTAAAAAGATATTGTTTCCTACCTCAGATAAAAAGTACGACAGCTGTACATGGATAAGCATATGTTGTTTTCTGTATTTACTTATCCAAAAAACAGCATATAATACTCTCAGGAACTGGAATCATGTTATTAATCACGCGAACAAATACCTTTGTTTCCGTCAGTCATCGTAAGAGTCTTATTATTATTATTTAGATAAAATGTAAAGTCAAACTGAGATATCTGACCCCCTAAGCTGTTTCATCAATAAATACTAACTGTATGTATTAGTCAAAATATGTGACGTTGTATATTTGATTTTTTTTCACTAGATTTTATATCGCGTTTTATTTTTTATCTATTTTCCAACGTCAGGTTTTCGCGAACGTTTCATGGTATGGAATAGAATTGGTATCGTGACACAGTTCAGGGATGCTGCTGAATATCAGTCAGAGGATGATGCATCGAATCAGTCTTCTGGAGGAAGTATAGAAGTAGAATTTCATGATAATAGTTTACATCATAGTTTGCGGTTATCCAATAGTTCGGGTTATTCTATGGCGGATCTGAGTTTAACTGCCTTGTTGCTAGCATCTAAGGTATGTTGTTCACTTAGGGATGGGTTTCATTATTATCATTATTATTTCTGAGCCACCCAAAACTTATTGTAATATTGAAATGATAGAGGATGTTTATAGTTCAGGAAGAGGATTTCGATGGTGTTTTTTAGCTGGACTGTTTAACAGTGGAGATTTCCTTGTCTTTCTTGACATCATCAGTACATACTCCAATAAGAAGTCCTATTGTATTTTTGATAGTTATCAAAGTAATGAGGATCAAAATCGGAAATGTATTTCTTTGTGTACGAAACAATATCTGTCAGCTTTAGACTGATCCAAAATGTGTACTGCTGTTAATAGCTGTTCTCCACTCATCCATCTGCGTCTTAAAAATGGTGTAAGTTCGTTTGTGTTTGAACTAAAAGAGATGAACCATGCAATTAATATCCTTATCTATTTATAAATGGAATACCCGAATATTTAAACTATTGAATTTCAGACATTAATATGATCAATGATTAATTTTAATATATGACTTCAGAAGTACAAATGTTCGTATTCTTGGTTAAAGGATATCTATTATTTACAATTTGCCTAAAAGTGTAGTAAACTAGTTTCTTACCATCTTAAATACAGTTAATAAATCTTGTAAAATCCCAAGAAGTTGTTTTCAACTGTGGAAATCTTTCTAATCGCACGATACTTAGATAAATTTTGAATAACTGTAAATTATTTGAAAATCTATTCATTTGTTTTTCGCAATGTTATCAAAATCTCTGTTGGTTTTCTTGAGAATTAGCTGGTCATCCACAGTAAACTACACTCAGATAAGTTTTCAAAAAATCTAAATGCCTAGAAAACTAAGACTATTGGAAACCTAAAGGTAACTATACTTTCCCACTTTTCTATCGTTACTGAATACTATGCTTCTGAATATGCGATAAGCATAGTTATCAGGCTAAGGTAACTGTCACCTGTCGTCGAAGAAATAAATCTTGAGAACCAGGTATGAAGTATACGACTTTTGAGTCGCTGTTTTTACACTGCCCTGAAACTGACATCAGAACGTTATTAAGACGTGCACCATGTGCACCTTTCTCCATTGTTCCATTCGAGCAGTGGGGTTAGGCAGGGTTGCCCAATCTCACCATTCCTCTTCAACTTTGCCATCGATGACATTCCGGAAACAGCTCTAATGGATGTAAGTAATGGCGGTGTGGATCTGTTGCCTGGAGAAAGACTTCTCGACCTTGAGTATGCGGGTGATATTGTCTTACTGTGCGATAATGCCCAAGGCATGCAATCTGCACTTAATCAGTTGGCAATCAGTGTCCGTAGGTATGGTATGTGCTCTGCACCTTCGAAGTGCAAAGTACTTCTACAAGACTGGTAGGATTCTAATCCTGTACTCACCCTGGATGGTGAGTAGATAGAAGTAGTCGAGAAGTTCGTGTATCTGGGTAGCTGCATAAGTGCTGGTGGAGGTGTGAGTGATGAGATAAATGCACGTATATTGAAAGCCAGAGCGGCTTATGCCAATTCGGGCCATCTTTGGCGCCTTCGTGATGTTAGTCTGGCTGTAAAAGGTCGGATCTACAATGCGTCGGTGAGATCAGTTTTGCTCTATGCTTATGAAACCTGGTCTCTCCGAGTTGAGGACGTTCGACGACTCTCTGTGTTCGACCATCGTTGTTTCCGAAGGATTGCTGACATCCAGTGGCAATACCATGTTAGTAATGCAGAGGTTCGGCATCGTGTGTTCGGGCACAGAGACGATAATGCAATCGATGTCACCATCTTGAAACACCGATTTCGGTGGCTTGGACATGTTCTACGAATGTCGTCTCAGAGGATTCCACGTCGTGCATTATTTGCCGACTCTGGGACTGGTTGGAAGAAGCGGAGAGGTGGTCAGTGCATGACATGGTGTCGTGGTATGAAAGAAAGCTGCAAAGGGGTGGCTTGTGTTGGTCCTTCACGACTCCCTGGTTGGGGTCTGAGAGATGGTGCTACACAGTGGCTAGAGACGTTATCAGATATGGCTCAGAATAGAAGCCAGTGGCGATCCTGTTGTAACCTTTTACTTTCTTCATAAAAAGTGGTTGTATCTTTCTTAATTGAAGGGTTTCTTCTGATTATACCTTTCCGTTCCCTCATTGTTACTATTTTTATCACTACACTGCCTGATACCAACTTCTTCGTTATTTTTCTCCTTTTTTTCTTTCTCCTCGAATTCTCATTTTTTTTGTGGCGCATATATATTTGGCGCACTCTTGTACCAGTATGTATGTGTTCAAATAAATAAATAAATAAATTTAGTCAGGGGTTACTATAAGACCTAGTTTTCGTCTCATTTAATGCAGCCCATAGTTGTTGCGAAGTTTTTCGCATAGCAGTTTAAAAGCAAATATAGGACAAAAATAGGTTGATTGAAATTCAAACATCCTTCAATATTCATTTTTCAAAGTTTATTTGTTTCAGCTTCACGATTTTAATTATATGGTAACTCGGAGCAATGCATATATTTGTCTCGTCCTACTTTGTATATAACTGACTGAATGAGTCGGCTTTTAATGTTAATGCAGAATCGAGTCACCAATTTTCTAGTTTATTTTGATATCATATGTAAAAAGATAATTTATTCATGCTCTAATTTACTTTTTCATAATGTTTAGGGTTCAGACGATCCCAATCTGGATGATTTGAATGATGATGAGCAAAATGAATTATATGACCTCAGTCGCATCGCAATATTACCACTCGATGTTGGCAGTTCAAACATCGGAGATGCCTCTGTAGAATGGACTACAACTCTCCCACCTGGCGAATTATGTGATGCAGTTTGCTTAGTTACTGAAGAGGGTAATGATAAAACTGAAAGTCCTGGTTATGCTGTTGTCGCTACCTCAAAGTGCCTGCTGCGCATTTTTACCCAACCTTCCCCATCTTCATCCGTGGCACATTCGAGTAATTTACGTCTGCTTCAGATAAATAAGCTAGGTTTGCCACCCATTAGTCTCTCTGGTCACCACACTGTTGTCTTAGCAAGTCATCCTAATAATCCTATTTTGGCTGTGGTAACTTGTAATGTAGTCGGAGAATTAGAATGGAGAGTGTTTTACTTGGGAGGAATTATGCTCGGATCCAACCGGACTGCAGCTCCACTATGGATGAAAAGTTCCTTATCTATCTGGCAACATTTGCCACTTAGTCCTCCGTTAAAACATACCTCCCTTGACACTTCAGTAGTTCGCTTAACTTGGTTTGGATTCTCTGATACTGGAGGACTGTTTACATATGACTCTAATGGAGTCGTACGACGCCTTATTCATGGCCGTTCGCAAAGACACCCAGAATTTCATTGGGTTCCTATTTGTGATACAAGAAGTTTATTAAAGCAAAACAATAGGCGAACAGATAATTATTTCGTTGTTGGTGTCCTAGAATCTTGTGAATCTGTAGAAAATTTGTCTTCTGAAAATAAAAAGGATTTGAAATCCAATGTCGTTGGGTTTGGTCAGCTTCAAGCAATTTACTGTAAAGCCTCAAAATGGCCAAGAGTTTTTCCACGACCTGTGGTGTCAAATATATCCTTCCGTCTACCTTTATGTTCAATGAATACTGATCAAAGTGATTTGGAGGTTAGTTTTACAAGTACTTGTGAATTATAAAGAGTTATGTTTATTAATTTCTACCGTTTAAAGTCAGTATAATGAGGTCAAATATGCCGAATGAAAAATTAGCTTAGGGTATCGTATCGACTATAACTTTCCTCATTACAGTTGCAGCGTGACGTGGCAATCCAAATAAATCTTGACTGGATCATGTTGCCAAACTGTTTTTTGTGCATTAATTATATCTCTCACTAATATAATGGGATTTATGGCTTATTTTAATCGGTAAGCTACCAGCCTAGTCACTTTTCATTGATTTTATAACTTTGGTAAGCTTACTAAACAAGTGAAGCTAAAAGTATTCATCTTTGTCGTTTAAAGTTAAGATTGTCGTAGTATCTACTACTGCCAGCAGTCAAGATATTAGTAACACTAAAAAGTTTGTAGCAATACAAAGCTTAGAAACTTTAAAATGTCAAAAGGAAAATCATTTAACAGAAGTGAAAATGATTTAAAGAAGCAATTCAAACATCATGGCAAAGATATATTTCATTCATTTCAAGTATCTTAATGTTTTTAAAAAGGCACAATATAAAATCGCATCAAGATCGCCATATCTGACAATATTCCAAGCTATTGAGTTCTAAGGCTTCTAGTACCCTATCTGAGGGTTTGTGTTTCGGCAAATACTAATCCAACACAACCGTCCATCATTCCACGACTTCATGTCATACATTTAACAACCACTCTGCTATTCCCACTGAAATAGTATGCGTAGGATGTGTTTAAGCTTTAAAAGCCGACATTCCAATTATTCACTATGTCAAAAAGATATTGAACCTCAGCATTGCTTTCACGGTTTTTCTAGCGAACGCAACTGGTGTTTTGGAAACAAAGACCGGACTCAAAGTATCCAGATTTACTTAACTAGGAGATGTACTAGGATTAGCAACCACAAAAATGACTACTCTCACAAAACTTTATATACCTAAAATTATCCGATTCATGAAGATTTTTGCCAGAAATTCGGCGTGTTATTCATCACAAGTTAAACCATTTTTGGACTGACGTATTTATTTAGTATTACATTGGTATAAGTTTCTCCTAGTATACCATTGACTTTGATTAGGTTCTTTAATAATTATTGATAAAGCCACTTTCTCATCAACGAGAAATAAATATTTATTATATCACTAAAAGAAAGCTAGGTGATGGCCAAACCAACTCATTGAGTAACTGATTATTGGACTAATCCGCGTAAGTAGATGCAATTTACCTGACTGGGATCCGTGTAATAATCGTAACAAACGATAGGGATTTTGAGTGAACTGTTTGAAAATCGCTCTCAATAACTCAGGTGCGTTCACGTTTTGTTTTACCTTAGATCTTAAGTTTCTGAATTATCTTATACTTGTTTTGATTATTCTGCTAATTCACATTTTCTTAACAAATCATATTCCCTGTTTTCTATAACCGCTAACACTGCTACTCTGAGATTTGTCTTGACAATTTCATTTCACTGTGGTGATGTGGTGTGACAATTTGGACCGATGCACGTATGTGACAGGTTCTCCGTTAAGTTTGACCAAATGACATCCATCTAGAGACCTATATGTTTGATAGTTTTTTCGTTTTGGTTAAAATCAATCATTTGCTTTAATAATCACTTGTCGAGCAAGTTATTGGTTCAATCCTTGTCCAGTCAGTCAGCTACAACGTAGGACCAGGCACATATGTGCATCGGTCCAAGTCCCCATACCTCATTAGCACAATAAAATTAGCACCAGATTCATAGAAATAGTTAATTCAGGGGTGGTAATATATGAAAGAAAGATTGCATATAACGACATAGTACACAAAGAAAGAAAGATACGAAGCTATTTTAATCTCAGTTTAAGGGAAGGCGAATAGTGTATACACCTATGCCATTGTGATCGATTCTAAGCCATGTCATTCAGCATCTCTAACCATTGGTTACGATAGTCACGCGGACCCCAACCAAGTAGTCTGCATCTACCAACACGGCTCAGACCAGAAGTTAGTGACTTCAAGCACTGATACCACGTTTTGGTTTGCCCGCCCCTCGCTTTCTTCCAACCATCCCCAACACCGGTTAGCATTGCACGTCGTGGTAATCGGTGTTCAGGCATACGTAACACGTGGCCCAACCATCTCAGTCCATGAAGATTCACAACCTCATTAACTGATTTACCATCATTCTCTAATACCCTGGATCTAACCTCAATGTAGCAACAACGGTCGGGAAATCCTTGTTCCACCTACTTTGATTTGAGATTATGTGGTACTATTGAGTGAGTGTGATGTCATTGTCCATTTGCCTTGGAACTACGAGTCTGATTATATTCCACCTTTTCTTATCACCTATGACTTCATTCTTCCCAATAATCAGTAACGAGATTATAGCGTCAGAAAGTTTATAATCAAAAATATGGTAGTAAGCAATACATTTTTAATATACATTTTTTTCCTCATGTCATTAAAAAAGTTTACTTTTAATATCATTTTAAAATAGGAAAATTATCTTCAGTGTGTAATAAGTGAAGACTGGCCTATCTGGGGTCCGAATATCGCTGATGCAAATGAGGATATATTGTCACATTTGCTATCATTAAATACAAAATCGCTGACCAAGCGCAAGGCAGTTCTGTTACGTCTTTTCGCTGTGAGTTTTGTTTACTTACCTTCATCTGTTTGTACTAATTTTAGTCTTCTATGTAAATATAAATTTTCATTGCAGACTGTGTCTTATGTTTTGCGTTTAAAATGTAGAAGATATTTCTCGGATGTCTTAAAGATTTCGTGAGAAAGTGGTTATACCAAGACAGTTGCTATTACAAATCATAAAGTTTATTGTGTTGCTATAACGCATATGAGTGAATTAGCACTTATGGACATAGTTACAATTATAAAATGGTAAGAGATCATTCGTAATAACTGAACAAAACGTTGAAAGTACATCGATTTTCCGACTAACATCAGATACTGTAATTATGAGATATTAAAAAGATTTGTGTTTGCAGGATATCACAATGTCTTAAAAAAAGAAATAAAGAATTTGAAGATAATATCGTATAAATATATGGCAAAAAGTCTTGGGCAATCAAAATCTCATAATCTACTGAAAGTATAATATTTGAAATTAAGGCAGTAATAATGTAGAAAGAAGTATTTATTGTTTATTGATCATCATCATATGGTACAAGAGCATAGAAATATAAAATTTCAAAGAACATAATGGTTAAAAGTGTATTTAAGAGTACTGTAAGGAAACTTTAAGTACACTATTTGCTTAGACTGGGAAACTAATCACAATAACACTTTCCATGTCACCACTTATCTTTATAAGATGGAGATGTCAGTTTTCTCTCTCCATAATTATTGTTCCAGATTAACTTCCTTTTTGTTTTACTTCATACAGCTGGCAGCAAAACTCGAATCTGACTGGGCTAGCCTCGCAATCGCTAATATGATGCCAGATGCAGCGACTGTTCAGCTTGCTATTAGATACGCTGGTCGGCTGAGGCGTCAAAACCTTGCACATCGTTTAGCAGGAGTCGCTTTAGAAAAAGAGCGCCGTGTATCAGAAACTGTTGAAGTTGATGATTGGGATGATATACCACAGAGTTCAACATTTAGAGGGAAGTGTAATAGGTACATATATTCATCGATATGCTATTATTTTTGGTTATTATTTTAGTGAGAAGTTTCAATTCATTTAACTACAGAATACGTTTTCGAAACCGATTTATAAATTGAACAATCATCTTAAATTAGTCAATCTACGTAAATTCAGATTCGGGTAATGTTGATGTTGTAGTGAACGAAAACTGACGTACGGTAAACCAGTTTATTATTTTATGTTAAGTCACACAGTACATTTGTAAAATATGAAAATCATACATTAAATACATCATTTGCATATCTTCATTGAATTATCCTGCACATACTCCATCATTCTTCCAATCATGTTGTTATTCCGAATGCTCTTTGTTTCCCTTCTCTTTATTCCAATTTTCTGCTGGTAAGCATTCCACTTCCAATTACTGATACATACCACTTATGTCTGTCCGCATAAGTAGCACACACCACATCGTAATCTGTGAATCTACTTTGGCGAGTTTCGAGAATCAGGCTTCAACCAATTCTTCTTTTCATGAACAAACTACATCAAGTTATACAGTTTGTTTGTATTATTATCTTTTTTTCTTCTATAACTCAGTATCAGATTGTATTTCAGTTTGTGTGATTACCATGTGTTTAAGTGATAGATGGTTAGTAATACGATTAGTTCACTTTTGTATTTCTAACACCTATATTTCACATAATGACTAAAGGTGTCCCTAGTTTTCATTGTTTAAGGATTTATAAATCTTACTAAAGAACTGAATTGTTGAGACTCCTAACAATTACAACACTTACAAGAGTATATATATTCCTCATCGCTTATTCTAAAAATATTGTAAAGAAAAAACCACATACGTTTGTCTTCGTTGTTAATAAAAGGATTCACCGTTGAAACGTCTATATTCATTCATTACCCTCCATGTATTATTCCTTTGGCCTAATTGTAGCAATGCTTGAATCTGTTGCAAAAGTTATTAGATAGGCTTAAAATACTTAGTTGTGTTCGTTCTATTTCGTGAAGATGATACTTCGGATTAAAAAATTAATATCTTTCTATGCAGCGATACTATGATTTATGGATAAACCGATGAAATTAAGGATACTAAATCTTGCATTTTGTCATGAAATTCATTCATCTTATAGTTAAATAGCATTTTTGGCATTATAACAGATGCTAGCTCGTAATGAAAACTCTTACTTCAGTTTCTAATTTTAAATCCTAACTCGTAATCTTGATCCTAATCACCCACATTAATTTATAATCCTCTTTTGACCTCGGTAAGTAGGTGAGTTGTCTCAAGGTCACTTTGGCGTCGCTTACAGGTGGGCCATAAATTATAGTCCCACCCTGTTTTCCGGATGGTTTGGTTTGTCTAAAGTTGTAATACCCCAACCTTGGTAATCATCTGTTGCTTATGTGATCCTAAGTGAAATTCGACCGTTTTTTTATTAGAAATTCGTCAGCAGCATTTTTAGTTGTGCTATATATAATCAATTTCCTGGTACGTTAATTTGAATGCATTTTTGCTTAGTGCATACATACACTACGGAATTTAGTCTTATTTCTTAATTTTTTCTAGAGATCCTACTACGTTCTCAGGTTATTCTCCGTCGAATAACCATATTCATTCTCATTCAAAGACTCCAAGACCTACAAATGGTTCAGATTATCATGATGTGGCAGATAGTTCACTTGTTAGTTCAGGAACTGATGATGGCCATATTGATGGTTCGATTAATAATCTACCTCTAGCAGATTCCGAGTCTTTGTCTCATTCTGTGTTGACTCCCTCTTCACGAAATCCATTCAAAGTGAGTTAATAAAACCGTTACTACGCGTGTTCGCGTAGATAAAACAAAGTAACGTTACCATTTCAATTGAATGAATTATTTTAAAGATGTTATGTGTGCAAATAGCTTAATGCTTGATGAACATACTGTCTGTAGTTTCTCGCTACTTACAAAACTGTCAAGTTTCTTGATTAGTAAATATTAAGTCGCTGGTCACAAAACTATCATGGTATGTAATAATCAGCCGTAATACCTATCCGAATGAATAAGGAATCAGGAGTAAAACACAATCATTACATAAATTGAGTTTCCAGCATATATCGGTATGCTAATAATAAGTATTGTAAACTGATCAGTCGGGTTATTTCCTGGGATTCGCAATCAAACATATTTATGACGTTGCTTTCAATTTTGAATGGAAACCGAGTTTCTTTGGATACATCTGTTTTGCCAAATATATTAAATTAGACTGTTTGAAACCAAAATCTACTGACTATGTGTGGTAGTAAACTATCTTCCAAACCCATGTAACTGAAATTTCCAAATAAAATCATTAAACTTTTCATTATTTATAAACAGCAATTTTATTTTGTGTTGTACGGGTCATATTTACTTTATTTCTAGTCTCTTCGATGAATTTTTCTTATAAATTATCATTATTGTTACAGTCTTCTAATGAACCGAAAGAATTTGCACCCCGTTCGATCGCTCATGGAACTGAACTCTTAGATGCTTGGACACCTAAGACAACTGCTACAAACACCAAAGTTTCTCAGAAGCCTGATGTCAACAAAACTCAGAACAACAAAAAGCGTTCACTCTCTGTGAGTTTATTTCACCTTGTATTACGAGTTAGTAAATAATTTATCCTAATCAATTTACCAAATATTGTATTAAGTTGGTGTTTGCTCATGAATGTTGATATGGTAATAGTTCATTGTGTTCCGCCTTATTTCGTTAAATTTGACCAGCTTTCTTTGGTAATCACTTAATGATTCATATTAGAGTTAATAATAATCTGAATAACTTAACATCACATTGCAGTTTTCTGTTATTAAGTTTCCTCAAATAACTGAGCATTTTCCAAACCCTTCAGATTATTTATTTCGATGATAGCCTGCAGTCGAAAGATCTCTAAAAATTTAAAATCTGTTTTATCCGATGATTACATCTTGCCTCTGATTAATACATTGCTGTTATTTTCTTAAATGAATTTACGTCAACAATTAGTGGATGGAATTTATACATATAAGAGTACATACAAGCTAATATGTGTAATTATTCATCCCGACCGTAGCTGCTACATTGAGGTGGTGGTCGGATTTTTTGCCTATCGTGATGATCCAACCGAGCTATTTTGGCTGGGACATATGTTCCTGTAGGTTCTATTATGCCTAGTAGGTCGATTGGAGAACGTTAAGACTAAAAGCGCAGCAACTCAAGGTCTGAGCGAAGTCGTACTACTGACTGCAGAGGGGTGTGATGACAGTAAAGTGTTTACTTCGAACAACCAGCACCGGCAGCGGTGCTGCCTTCTCAGAAGGAAGTGGTTAGAAAAGGTCGACTATAAAATGCCACACCTCGCCTTACCTCACAGCATACGAGACCAAGTTGGTCACAAATAGATCCTTCCTATACCTCCTAATAACTCTTATCTCTGCTACTAACCCTTCTCACATCTCTTTATCACCTCGTACCGCTAGGGCAAACGATTCGAGTACGCGGAACGTTATTCCTGGTCTCCTGAAACCACACTCTTAACTACATATAGGAGCTTTCGACGTCCGAACACTGCGCCAAATAGGACAACAGGTTTCCTTAGCTAGGATTTTAGAATCTTACGCCATCAATGTGTGCTGCATCTCCGAAGGGCGCATGCAGGATCCGAGTAGCGTCATTCGTTTGACATCATCATGTCAACATAAAGAACCAACTCGATTCACACTTCGTGTATCTGGAAGTCCAGATGCTGCTTCTCGTGGCCTCGCAGGTGTAAGTATAGCATTGAGTCCTAGGGCAGAATTAGCTCTCTTAGACTGGATCCCAGTAGACAGTCGTTTGTGCGCTGTCCGACTAAACGGAACAGTAAGGACTCGGAAACGTAGAGACACTCGTCGTTGCCTCTTCGTCGTCTCTGCCTATTCTCCCACTGACTGCTGCTCAGATGATGTAAAAGATGAGTTTTACAGAAGGCTTTCTGACCTTTTCCAAAAAGTTAGGCGCTCTGATGTAGTAATAGTGGCTGGTGACTTTAATGCTCGAGTAGGTAAACTAAGCGAAAGGGAAAGACACCTAGGTGGATCTTGTGATGCTGTGGCTCATGGAACAGATAATGGCGACCGTCTGTTGCAGCTATGTTCAGATAACCGCCTGTTCCTTGCAAATACTAACTTCAAGCATAAGGAAAAACATCTTTTAACATGGCGACCCCCTAATTCGTCCCAACGTTGGACCCAAATAGATCGCATCACTATCAGCCACCGATGGAGGGGTTCGATAGAAGACTGTCGCTCATTCTGGAGCACATACTTAGATTCAGATCATGCTCTAGTACGAGCGCGTATCTGTCTGCGTCTTACTGGACGTAGTAAAGACGCTGCAAGTAAGCCTCTTAGGGCCGTACTTAATGATAGTCAAGCTAAGAGTATATTTCAGGAACAACTAGGAAAACAGTTAGGTAGCTATGGAATTATATCCGAAAAGCCATGAAAAAAGCAGTGATATCTGCTAGTAAGTTAAACCGTAAGGTTAGGGATAAATACTGAGTCTCAACAGCATCTGGCTCTGAACATGACGAAGAGCGGAGTCAGCTTAAGCGCAAGTTGACAAGAAGTCTACGCAATGATCGTGAACAGTGGTGGGTAGAGAAAGCAAGAGATATGGAAAAAGCAGCGGCATTAGGTAACAGCAGACAACTGTTCAGATTTGTTAAGGAAACCGGTATTAGGAATCCAACTTTTAGCGAAACACTCTCAGAGAAAGATTGACATATTATTCACTCACAATCCAGAAGACTGGATCGATGGGCAGAACATTTTAGGCATCAGTTCAGCTGGCCTTCAGCCACAATTCGGTTTCCCACGATATCTATTCGACCTAAATGGCAAGGTGATGTAAGTCCTCCAACAACAGTAGGCCCTGACATGTTTACCCGTCACATTTTTAAGGATGGCAGTCCAGTATTAGCAGTGAGATTGACTGAGGTCTTAGGTAAAATCTGGGAGCTGACGTAATCCCGTCTGACTGATCCCAATCACTGATTGTGCCAGTCTATAAGAAAGGACAAAAGTCCTCTTGTGACAATCACGGAGGAATCAGTTTGACTAATATAATGTCTAAAATGTTAGCCTCAATAATACTTCGACGAATAACCAAAGCTCGTGAAAAGTAGACTAGAGAAAACCAGGCCGGTTTTCGACCTGGACGTGGTTATATAGACCACATATTCACACTACGTCAGGTTCTAGAACACAGACACACGTTCAGACGCCCCACAATCGTAGTATTTCTCGACCTTAAAGCAGCATTCGACTCTGTCGATCGTAAGGTTCTATGGCAGTGTTTGTCACTGAAAGGAGTACCAAAGAAGTACATTAACCTTATAAAGGCTCTCTACTCGAACACAACCGGTCGAGTGAGAGCTTATGGCGAACTGTCATCAGAATTGATTACCTCAAGTGGTGTTCGTCAGGGCTGCCCACTCTCTCCATTCTTGTTCAACTTTTTCGACGACGTACTTTTAGAGATAACACTTTCCTCGTCTAGATTTCCAGGGGTTGAACTTCTACCGGGAAGTTCACTTGTTGACTTAGAATATGCTGATGACATAGTTCTATTTGGTGAAGACGCTGACAAAATGCAGAGTCTTCTGACCACTCTAAGCAACAATGCAAGCATGTTCGGGATGCGATTCTGCCCTTCGAAATGCAAAATGTTGCTTCATGATTGAATTGTTGGAAACGTGTACTAGGTAAGGATGGTAAATCAATTGATGAAGTAGTGAAACTTGATCAGTTGAGATGGCTGGGACACGTTACGTATGCCCAACCACCGACTGCCTCGACGTGCGATGCTCAGTGGTATAGGAGTAGGTTGGAAGAAAGCTAGGGACGACCAGATCAAAACATGGCACAAGTCCATGAAGTTAATGACAAGTGGGGTGAGCCATGTTGGTAGGCGTAGACTACCTGGTTAGGATCCGCGAGATGATAGTAAACCGATGGTTAGAGACCCTGAATGATATGGCTCAAAATCACTTGCAATCGTACAGGTACATCCACTCTTTGTGTTCTTCCAAATTCTAATCTTCCGAATTCTTCATGTCCTTTATTTTCTTTCCAAATTTATTCCACTGGATTATACTCTTTAAATAACATCTTCAAACCCTAATTTTTCTGATTACTGCTTATACTTTTACCACCTGTACCACTACGGGATGTGGATTGACAATTGTATGTGTTTGCTAATGTGGTATGGCAACTCGAACTGATGTACGAACGTATGAAGTTCTACGTTGTTGCTGACTGATTGACTAATTATTCATAATTCATAACACAACTTGGAAATGATTTGTCAGTCATTAGGGGATAAATTGTCTGTAATGTGAATTTAAAATTTAGTTTTAAAAAGCGGGATTATTTTTATAACAACTTAACGGCAGTCAGTCAGCCACAACGTAGGACCAGGCACATATATGCATCGGTCCAAGTTGCCATACCTCATTAGCATAACAAGATAAACACCAATTTCATAGAAGTAGTTATGTATAATGAAAGATTGTATAAGGATATAATACAGAAAGAAAAAAATTAGTTCGTAGAAATGTATAAGCAATTTTAATCTCACGATTCCATTGTGATCGATTCTGAGCCATGTCACCCAGAGTCTCCAACCATTGGTTACGATAGTCGTGCGGATCTCAACCAAGTACCATATATAGGTTGGTGAAAACGTCCTACAGCAAGACCAAAATATTCACAAATAAGCCTCGAGGAGGAGTACACTGCACTAAACGATTGCCTGCGAAGGAATGGATCCCCTCAATCGGTTATGAATAAATGTAGATGGGAGAGTAAAAGCCCCAAAAGAAGAAATCAATCAAAGATTAAAATCAACTTTAAAAATCAGATTCCCTTTTGCGAGGTTGATTCTAACAACAATACAAACAAAAGTAAATATATACCTGTCACATGTTACCTCTCATTTGTAAATCAATAATTATAAATCCATATGTTGAAGGATAGGATTATGTTAGAAGCGTAAAGTGATACATTAAGTGTTACATCTGTCTGTTGTCTCGTGTTATTTAGATGAAAGTTTGTAGTTCATCTATTCCTTATACCAAAAGATCATGTATATCTTAGTTTTCTGGATCATTTTCAACTGAACATCATCAAAAAATGTTCTAGCAAATTAATCGCATTGAATTTTCTTACATCGCTTTGAATCCTTAATTGCATCGTTTGTTGATTGAAAATGTATTAGAATAATCTTTTTCATTGTTTGTAGTCATCACAACGATCTAAATTGCCGAAAATGAAATCTGTTGCTACAGCAGAGTAAGTTTGTATTTTTTTCACATTCATATGACTTCCAATGGTTATTTTAGATTTTAATTTTAAACCGTTTCTCATTATATAATTCAAATATTTTGGTAGCGTTGATCAAGAATTCACTGATTGGTTTGAAGAAAATCGAGATACTTTGGAGGAAAGTTATCCAGAAGTTTCAGTTGAGGAGCTTGTTCGCATAGGACAGTCTGAATACGTAAGTGAACGATTAACCTTCACTAACTGTACTTGTTTTTCATAACTATCGTAAAGCATGATTTTATTTATATGTGCCAATGTGATCTTAAAATATGTCCCTTATGTATTAATGAAAGATATTCACACAAACACTAACCACTATTGTTCAATTTAATATGCCTTCATTCAGTATTCTTTTTTGAATATCGTCCGTGTAACTCACGAAATTTCCAAACGACAGAAATCTAGGCATCATTATCCATTGATCTTACTTAGGAGTGCTTGTAAAATAAACTCTCTATTCTTTGACACAAGTCAATCATTTTATAAAAATGCATCTTTGACCATACTTTACTTACTTACGCCTGTTACTCCTAATGGAGCATAGACCACCGACCAGCATTTTCCAACCCACTCTGTCCTTCCTTTTTCGTTCTGTCTAATTGTTTTTCATTTTCTCATGTCTGTCTCCATTTCTCTACGCAATGTGTTCTTTGGTCTTCCTCTTATCCTTTGGCATTGATGATTCTAATTGAGGGCTTGCCTTGTGATGAAGTTCGGTGCTTTCCTCAATGTGTATCCTATCCACTTCCAGCGTTTCTTCCTCCGCTGAGATCGGGTTTGTTCTCTCCCACAGAAGGTTGTTGCTGATTTTTACTGGCCAACGGATCCCAAGTATTTGTGCGTAAACAGCTGTTAATAAACACTTGTATCTTCTGGATGATGGCTTTCGTAGTTCTCCAAGTTCCCGCGTCATACAGTAGAACTACCTCGACGTTTGTATTGAAAATTCTGATTTTTTTGTTGGTTGACAGTTGTTTCGAGTTCCAGATGTTCTTCCGTCGTAAATCTACTGATCTCGCTTTGCCGATCCGCGCCCCCACATCTGCATCAGACACACCGTGTTCATCAATGTTGCTGCCCAGATATGTAAACGTTTTTACATCCTCCAAATCTTCTCCGGTAGGTGTGATTCGATTGGTGCGTGTTGTGTTGTATCGGAGAATCTTGCTTTCCCTTTGTGTATGTTGAGACCTATTGCTGCTGAGACTGCTGCTACACTGGTGGTCTTCTCCTGCATTTGTTGTTGCGTGTGTGATAGAAGAACCAGATCATCTGCGAAGTCTAGATCGTCCAGCTGCATCCTAGCTGTCCATTGTATCCCGTACTTCTCCCCAGATGTTGACTTCTTCATGATCCAGTTGATCACCAGGAGAAACAGAAGGGGTGAGAGTAAGCAACCTTGCCTGACACCGGTCTTTACCTCGAACGAGTTTGTCAGCTGTCCTCCATGCACGATTTTGCAGTTTGATCCATCATAGTAATTCCGTATGATATTGACTTTCTTCTCAGGTACGCCATAGTGTCGAAGAAGCCTCTATAGTGTTGTCCTGTCCACACTGTCAAATGCTTTCTTGTAGTCAATGAAGTTGATATAGAGTGATGAATTCTATCCAATTGATTTTTCTACAATGATCCGTAGTGTTGCAATCTGGTCTGTACACGACCGATCCTTACGGAATCCAGCCTGTTGGTTTCGAAGTTGGGCGTCTACGCAGTCCTTCATTCTGTTTAACAACACCTTGTTGAAGACTTTTCCTGGTATTGAGAGAAGAGTAATGCCTCTGTAGTTATCACTGTTGCTGAGATCGCCTTTCTTTGGTATCTTGATCAAGTGTCCTTCTTTCCAGTTTGTTGATACTTGTTCTTCATCCCAAATCTTGCTGAAGAGAGTGTGGAGCATCCTTGCAGTTACTGCTACATCTACTTTCAGTGCCTCTGCTGGAATGTTGTCTGGTCCCACTGCTTTGTCGCTCTTGATTTGTCTGATGGCTATGCTGATCTCTTCAATTGTTGGTGGGCCAACATGGATTGGGAGGTCCGTGGGTGCTACTTTGATGTTAGGTGGGTTCAGTGGAGCTGGTCGATTCAAGAGTTCTTTGAAGTGTTCTACCCATCTGTTTCGCTGTTCTTGGATGTTGGTGATTACTTTTCCCTCCTTGCTTTTCCTTGGTCGTTCTGGTTTATGATAATTTCCAGCGAGTTTCTTTGTTGTATCATACAATTGTCTGATGTGTCCTTCTCTTTCAGCCTTTTCAACCGTCATTGCTAGATCTTCCACATATTTACGTTTGTAGATTCTGATGCTCCTCTTCACTTGCTTGTTTAATTCTGTGTATTCAGCTTGTGCCTTGGCTTTCTCTGCTTTTGCTCAGCTGGTATTGATTGCTGCCTTCTTGAATCTTATCCAGTGCATCAACGATGATCCATTCCTTATGGTGGTGCTTCTTGTGGCCCAGAACCTCGTGACATGTTGAAGTGATTGCCTCTTATCCCTGTCAAGTTGTTCTCCACAGTAGTTCCCTCTCCATTGAGTAGGTCATGAAAGACCTGGAATCTACTACTGAGGACTACCTTAAATTTGTTGAGTTTGTCATTAACCCGAAGAAAGGTCGTATTAAACTTTTGTGCTGCTGTCCGCCCGATTGTCCGGTGCTCCTTGAGTTTCAGTTTCATCTTGGTGACCAGCAAGTGATGATCTGACGCTACTCCTCTCGGAGCCCCTCTGGGCTACTGCTGATCCGAAGCCCGGGTAAAGGTAGAGGTTTGGGCATGGGGTTAGCGACCCTATCCCGTAGAAAACTAACTCGAAAAAAAACGCTAACCAAGGGCCCTGATGGCTGGAGGAATGATAATAACAATAACGCACAGTTATCATCTTCAAATATCGGGTGATACTCGCATGCTTATTATTGATTTAAACACAGTGGGTGCCAAAATAAATAAGAAAATTAGATTGTTATGAGGCGAAGAAATGAAGCTGAGTTTGATAAAAAAACAGATGAATAAAAGTAGGTGAATGATTGGTGGATTCACGGGCTTCTAACAGTCTTATAAAAGTACTTCGCATTTCGAAAATGCAAAGTACCTGCCATAGCTGTGGACATTGATTGCCAACTGATTTAACACGGATTGCTTGGCCTAATTATCGTTACACAATAAAACTATCATCTGCATACTCAAGATCACCCCATATGTAGGATTGCCGTTCGCTAAATACAAGTTGTCAGTAGATAGGCATTATGCAGAATGTCACTTTGTTGTTCATTGTGACACTTTAAATAAGGTAGAAACATGAGATTCAGAAAGTGCATGAAGATGAAACGTGAGTAAATAGATGATATGTAAATGAATGAAGTATTTAGAGAAATATATGGACTACCTTCTAAGAAAACAGTGTCTTATTCATCTGAAATTCCAGTACATAACTTGCAACTTCATAATTTTGCGATATTAGTTCGCTTAGTTTTCTATTATGTTACTGGACTAACCAGTCAGTAAGATCTAATTAACACATTTGATCAGATCACCCTACTATTTTTTTGGTAGTTGGACCGGTCTAGTGCTGTTATCAGATATCATTATTAAAAGTTAATGTGATCATTAGATTCCTTAAAGTTACCAAGACATGGCGAATCGATATCACGAATACATGGATGTAAAGTGGGTTGTCTAAAGTAGTTGTAAAGTATTGTGTTGTCATACATATCGATAGTGCACATCATCGACTTAAGTAAGAATATTTCAACTAAGTGTTAATGTAATAAATGGATCAGTGGCTTAGTGTTTAGGTCTTACAACCACTATCTCGGAGGTTCGAGTCCTGCTCAACCTACGTCACAAACCCTTACATTTTCATTGTGGCACGAATATTTACATGGTGACAGGTATATTTTTTCTGTCATGATTAAATAGTACATAAATAGCTGTGATTCCTATTGATATATCTAACGTTTGTTTATTTTTATTCCTTACATATTAGCGTTCTATAAAAAGTTCAAAAGACGGTGTTTTTGATGGAAAAGAAAAGGAAAACGTACTACAAAGTAATACCAAACGTCCATTAAGTGAAAATGATGATTTAATTCAGTGTAATTCCAATGCTACAAAGAGAAGACTATCTGAGTTTGAGAATAATGTATCTAAGAGAATGTCGTCATTCGCATTCTCTCAGAATCCTTCAAAATAATAAAGATAACATATCTAGTTCCAATTAAATAATGTGGCGTCACATTTGTATATTATGTTTAGACCGGTTTATTGTATTAATTGTTATAGAGCAATCTCTTCCTTTAAAAAGTGTAGTTTGTAATATCAACCCGTTGCATATCTCTAAATTTATTTCCTTTCGTAAAGTATTTGCATACATTTTTTTAAGTAGAAAATGTAATGCTTGAATTTGTATCGTATAAACTGCTATAAAATACTGTTATGACTTTTCCTATCAGCTGATCCTCAATTTCTATGCACAGTGCATACGTAGGTTTAGCACTCAGAGTAAGTCAATTAATGAGAGCTCTACAAGAAGTGTTACAAACACATTATATAGTTTTTGGCTATTTCACCCTATTTTCCCACTATGAAACCTCGTTTCCAATAACATATGATTTGACTTCTTGTAATCGTTTCTGAGTATACGAAATGCCTAATTATTCAAAAAGTGAGAAATCGAAGCTTTAGGAGCTGTTCTATGGAGTGGTGACATTTGAACTCGTTTTTAACGAGTATTGACTTCAAAAGGTAATCTTGCGTTGTTGGAAATATTGTTTAGTCCTATTTATATAGATAGATTTTTTCCGATGTGTTAAAAGTATAGTCGTGACTGGCATTGGATTCGCAATAAAACGTGGCTATCAGAATCATGTAGTTAGACAAAGACAATCCATTGAGAGACAACACAGTTTAATTTATAAGTACTAATGACAAATACAAAGCACTAGTTTCTTCCAGGCCATACCCATCACTATTCGACCTGCAGAATTTACAGACTTAGGTTCATACAGGAACACTATTTCTAGTTTCTTTACCTGTCCTTTAAGTCTATATTTATCGGTTGGTTTTTTCTCAGAAAAGTGAATTAGCTTCATCATTATCAACTTCACAAGTTAGTAAAGACTTCCTTCATAGACTACTTTATAACTACAAATATGTTTCTTCAAAATCTGGACGTACTACATTTTGAATAAAGAACAACGACCCTAGGAGAATAATATCGATTCATTTATTTCGCGGGTCCTCCTCAACTGCTTGACGTGATGGTCGGGCTTGCCTATCGTGATGAAGCAACCGAGCTATACTGGCTGGAACAACCGTTCCTCAAGGTCCTACCATGTCAGACAGGTCGGTTGAAGAGCGGTAAGACTAAAAGCAACAAACCCAAGGTCCGAAGGCGAAGTCGTACTGCTGACTGTACAGAGGTGTGACAGCAGTAAGGTGTTTCCTTCAGACAGCGATGCTGCCTTCCCACAAGGAGGGGTGGGGTTAGAAAAGGTCGACCCTAAAAATGCACACCTCGCCTTATCCCACGGATATCCGTCTCCGGCGGTAAGGTCTCAATAAGTACGGAGCTAACACAAAAATTACCCATAACAAGGTCGTGTGTGACCGACCTCAAGCAGTTGTCCCTTGGGCACTGCGGTCACGCTCTCAGGTCACTAAGACCACCTCTAATCCAATTTCCTTTTCAGGTACCTCCAGAACAACCCTTCCACGGTGTGGGCAACCGGGAAGTGATAACCGCCCTCATACTTCTAACAGCACTCAAGACCACTGTATTCATAATCAACCTCCTCTTCAATTCCTATTATTCCTCCTACATCGACTTTCAACTCTAAATTTCCTCTTCGGCTTCCACCTCAAGTGTCACCATAGCCAACGATTCTAGTGCGCAAAACACTGTCCCAGGTCTACTGAAACCTCGCTCCAAACTACACATTGGAGCCTTCAACGTACGCACCCTATGTCAAATCGGTCAGCAGGCTTCCTTGGCTAAAACCCTAGAGTCTCTTTCCATTGATGTATGCTGTGTCTCCGAAACACGCATACAGGATTCCAGTGTGGTCATTCACTTGACCTCACCTCGGCAAACGGAGAGCCAACGAGATACACCCTTCGTGTATCTGGTGACCCGATGGCAAGTTCTCGTGGACTGGCAGGTGTAGGCATAGCACTAAGCATGAGGGCCGAACAAGCACTGCTAGAGTGGATCCCCGTCAACAGTCGTCTATGTGCTGTTCGGCTGAACGGCTACGTAAGAACTCGGAAGGATAGGGACACACGTCGTTGCCTTTTTGTCGTTTCTGCCTACGCTCCCACTGACTGCAGCTCAGATGAAGTGAAAGATGAATTTTACAGAAAGCTGTCCGAACTTCTTCAGAAAGCTAAACGCTCAGACATAGTACTCGTAGCAGGTGATTTTAATGCTCAGATAGGCAGTTTAAACCAAACAGAAAGGCATTTAGGTGGATATTTTAGTATTCCGACACAGCGAACAGATAATGGTGATCGTCTGCTGCAGCTATGCTCAGACAATCGTTTATTTTTAGCAAACACAAATTTTAAGCATAAGGAGAGACATCGTCTAACATGGCGACCCCCTACACCAAACCAACGATGGACTCAAATAGACCATATTGCCATCAGTCATCGTTGGAGAGGGTCGGTAGAAGATTGTCGCTCATTCTGGAGTACCTGCTTGGACTCCGACCATGCCCTAATACGGGCACGCATCTGCTTGCGCCTCACTGGACGCAAAAAAGCCACATTAAAAAGACCCATTAGAACTGAGTTGAGTAACGAGAAACCAAAAATAGGTTCCAGGAACAACTGAGGTCACACTTAGGTAGTTGTGAAGACGAGGCTGACCCAGATGTTGCTTGGAAAGCATACAAGCAGCTGTGGAAACAGCAGTGACATCTATTAGTGACTTAAACCACAGAGTTACAAGGAACCAGTGGATTTCTTCAAGGTCTGTCACACTGATGGATTCTCGCAAACTCGTCCCATCAGGTTCTGAACATGATGAAGAGCGTAAACAAATCAGATCTAGGTTAAGAAAAAGTCTAAGGAACGACCGTGAGCAGTGGTGGGTAACGAAAGCAAAAGAGATGGAAAAGGCGGCGACTATAGGGAACACAAGACAGCTTTACAGACTAATAAAAGAAACTGGAATTAATAAGTCAAGTGTAAGTGAGATTATTTCGGAAAAAGACGATACTCTCATCTGCTCCCAGTCCAGACGTTTAGAACGATGGGCGGAACATTTTAGAGAACAGTTCAGCTGGCCTTCAGCTACTCTACAACTACCCTCCATTCCCAGACAATGTGAATGGAACATTGAAGTAGGTCCCCCAACTCTTGCTGAAGTTCGAAAGGCTATAGTTAATCTGAAACGAGGAAGGGCAGATGGATTGGCTCCAGAAGTCTTTAAGGATGGTGGTCCAATTTTAGCGATTAGGTTGACTAATATTTTAGCTAAGATCTGGGAGTTAGACGTTATCCCATCTGACTGGTCGCAATCACTTATCGTCCCAATATATAAGAAAGGGTCAAAATCATCCTGTGACAACCACAGAGGGATTAGTTTAACAAATATAGTATCTAAAATACTAGCCTCGATAATTATCAGACGCCTAACTAAGACTCGTGAACTGCAAACACGAGAGAACCAAGCTGGCTTCAGACCTGGTCGTGGCTGCATCGACCACATATTCACCATTCGTCAGGTTCTAGAACACAGGCATGGTTATCGGCGTCCGACAATGGTGGTCTTTCTTGACTTAAAAGCAGCATTTGACTCTGTAGACCGCGAGATTCTGTGGTAGTGTCTGTCACCTATGGAAAAGGCGAGATGTCAGTCTATCAATGAAAGGACGAGTATACCTCGCGGCAGTTCGTTCTGTTTTACTTTACGGCTGCGAAACGTGCCCATTAAAAGTTGAAGATATCCATAAGTTGCTAGTATTTGACCACAGATGTCTTGGAAATATTGCTGGGATCACCGGGTGAGTAATATTGAGGTTAGACCCAGGGTATTAGAGAATGATGGTAAATCAGTTAATGAGGTTGTGAATCTTCATGGACTGAGATGGTTGGGCCACGTGTTACGTATGCCTGAACACCGATTACCACGACGTGCAATGCTAACCGGTGTTGGGGATGGTTGGAAGAAAGCGAGGGGCGGGCAAACCAAAACGTGGCATCAGTGCTTGAAGTCACTAACTTCTGGTCTGAGCCATGTTGGTAGATGCAGACTACTTGGTTGGGGTCCGGGTGACTATCGTAATCAATGGTTGGAGACTCTTGGTGGCATGGCTCAGAATCGGTCACAATGGCGTCGGTGTATACACTCTCTGTCTTCTCTTAAACTAAGAGATTAGAATCACTTCATATCTTTCTTTCTACGAACTAATTCTTTCTTCCTGTAATATATCCTTATTGCAATCTTTTTTTTATGTATTACCACCTCTGAATTAACCACTTATATGAATCCGGTGTTCATCTTGTTGTGTTAATGAGGTATGGCAACTTGGACCGATACATATATTTGCCTGGTCCTACGTTGTAGCTGACTGACTGACTGACGTTATCAGAGAAGTCTGGAATAAAATTGAGATATAAAGTAATGGACGACAATAACTGTAAAAGGATTGAGAGAAAGTTCGAATATTTGTTTGCTTACAGGTTAAATATATAAATACTCGGGAAGGGAAAACTGGAAGGAGCAAGAAAAGATGATTTTTCGGAAGTGCTGATCATCTTGCAGGACGTTTAGAACATTAAATTCATGTCCAATGTCGAACAATAGCACTGCTGAATATTTTTTATCCTCACAGTCATTCATCTCAAAGAAAATCCCACAAAACATATGGGAAAGTGTGGACTGTTGGATTCCAGCTAAATAACGGATGTTCTTGGTGAGGTTGTCAGTGTTCACTACTGATGAGTCCTAAATTGCGTAAAACAGTTGTGGTGGTTCAGTGTGTACTGATCTTCAATGGCTTTCCAAAGAGGATCAATTTTCAATTGCAATTACATTCGCATACTGATTGTATGAAGCACCCAATACTCTTACCTTTTTAGCATTTCCGAAACTAATAATTTAACCCACCAAATTCATGTTTACGTACTTGGTTTTGAGGCACATTTTTCTGGAGCAACTGGTTTGTTAGGAATATTTAAGATTTTTAGAAATACCGCGAAAAAATAGTCGATCATTTTAACCGATTAAAGAAGCTTTTACAATGATATCAGTTAGTTATGGAAATGTTTATCAGCGACCACAATTTTCTATATACATAGCGATTAATTAGATTCAGTTATTACATGATGCAACTTATTGTGTATCAGTCGATTTGTCTGCATCGTAGACTGGGTTCAAGAATTTAATTTGTTTTTGAAGAATAAGAGTTATGTAGAGAATAGTTGGATCTTGAAGCTTCAAAAATAGACATTCAATTATCATTGTATATTTTTCAAATTACGAATTCTCTTTAGGAGCTATGAAGAAGAGGGATTACAAATGTCATTTGTATATTTTAGTGATGTTTAATTCGGCTGGATATTGTTTCCACTACCATCTCCGATTTTCATAGGATTAATATTCAACGTTGTAGTTAACCTGTCATGAATTGAATCACCTAGTGCAACTGATATCCATGTTATTAATATGAATGCAGTACGACAAGCATCAAGTATTTGCCATATTTTAAGAAAATTATTTAAATCAATTTGTGTACTCAATAGGTATCTTATTTCATCTTCAGATTTATAACTATTCACATGAAATATATAATCAAACCAACCCATCGAATTGTGTATTACGAAAGCGATCATATAAAATATGATAGCCATTAGTCCATTCTAATAAAAAAGAAGAGAAAATGATAAGTGATAAATCTTGAGAAAAAGGTTGGATCTACAAATGAGTTTCTTCTGCTCCTTATTTTGAAGTGATTAACTAGTATCAACCTACAAATTAATCAAGTATCACACAATGCTTACAATTCGTATTGGATAATGACTATTAAATTTTGACTAATATACAATAAAATAATGATAATTGTCATTTGAGTTGGTTAACACCTAATTATTAACTTCGTTTAGTTATCAATAATCAAAGCTAAATTGTGAACCGAACTGCGTAATAATTTTTAATTTAATTGTGTGCAGGATCAGTACCACACATTTTTGTAAGATTTATTTATATAATCTGACTACATAAACCAAGGTAAACGGGATGAAGTTCGTGCCCAAAATCCTATGACTCAAAATTTAAATGTTTTGTTACTCAGTGACTACCGAATTTCATGTACGTGACGAGAATATGAAGTCTTTTTTAACGATGCTCATTAATCGATAAATACAGTACTGTTTTCTGCAATAAATTTTGCAGTTAATTGATTAACTTTATACAACGGCAGATTTAACAGAGGTTTCGTGGAACGGTAAGTGAATTAGTTAACAACTAAAGGCGATCATGAAACTAGAATTATTACCTAAGCAGAAGGATTTTCAAAAGTATCATCAGTAATAGTTGCTGAACATGACGAAGATAACACCGAAAAAAGTATAGTAATACAAATATCGATTTAGGCGACCAAGAGATTGTGAAACGCTAAATTTCCCTGCCTTATGCTTTTGTAAAATAGGCTTAATAGGTTATAGCATTAACTAAAATAGAGTATGTATCACTTTACAAACTACAAAAGATAATGATCTAATTATTTTACTACCAGTGTTTTTAGGAAAAGTTCTTTCCTTATATCTTTTGGCTGGTGTCATGCATCGACCAATGTTAGACCACCGTCGAAAAACTGGAAGCACTGAACGGCCGTCTCGTCCTAGTATGAGACTACTTAGCAGTGCGCATTCACGGTCCCGAACGTGAGATTCGGACTCAGAGACTTCGGTTGTGCGCGCGGACGCTTAACCTCAAGACCTCTGAGCTGCAGGGTTGTGGATGCTTAGGCTGTCCATTGATTCCAGGTTCTCGATGGGTTTAACAGTGGTCGACTCATGATCTCAATCAAAACTCAATAATCTCCACAACCCTATACTGATCTTCCATTCGTCTGATCGTATTCTGATCAGCTATTCCTCACATGATAAAAAGATCTTAATAATGCGGCTGGAAAAAAAGAATACTTGGAAAATTTAGAGATAGGATAAATCCTACCTTTCATCTTGGCTGAACAAATGTAACACAGTGAGTCTCAGTTATGTTGATGTAATGTATTGTTGGTACTGGACTTAAAAACGATTGCAGTACTACAAATAATTTTCACTGAGAAATAGTGGTTTGTGCCATGTTGACCAGTTAAAAAAATTCACTACAGTCGGTAACTGAATTGTCAATTATAATGTTTTCTAAAACAGGTCTCACATAAATCTTTACTGATACTTAGTGGACGGTAATTATTCAATTTAAAGCACGAATTTTTTCTGGTCAGCAGTTTTCATGACTGTTAATTTAATGGGATTAATTGGCTGGATTGTATAGTCAGTACATTGAAAAAATCTCAATCTCATTTTCTTCAGGCGAACTAACTGACAAGACAAACTATAGTAAGTAAAATAAAACCCCTAATCCTATAATCGGATTAATATAAGGACTAGTAACTGAGTGACTATCGGTACGAATAGAACCATATTTTGTAAAAAAATATGTTCAATAACAACACTATATATATATATATATATATATATATATATATATATATATATATATATATATATATATATATATATATATATATATATATATATATATATCAGTAACCACCTGAAGTTTAACACATTTCCGAATACAATTTGTTGTTGGCCTTCCTAAATCAAATTTTCCGAATACAAAAACACCTATCAAAACTAATGATATATAAAATGTAATAGAGATTGGACGTGCATAAACTCCATAATATTTTAATAATGGTAAATAACCATCTCCGTAATTGTAATTCCAAGAACCATCATTTTTAATTTGTCTTGGATTAATTAATGATTGTACGAATAGTGTATGCACTAAACTTGCACCAGCCAATAAGCCGAATAACGCAAATGTCAAAATTTGTAGTGTTTCATGTATGCTGATAACAAAATGTAATCCTGGATTGTTATGCGTATACATCAGTTCTTGTTTGTCATTTAGTCTTCTTTTAATTGTAGATTCTTCATTTCGTTTCATAGGCATATTTTTCTCATAATCTTTAAGTGGATGAGAACGAAAGCCACTTCGATTTTCAACATAAACGTTTGGAGTAAACTGTCTGTCAGGGAAATTAATTGAAAAATCACCTATAAACGAATGATAACAAAAAGAAAATGTATTTATTGTGCGATTTTCACACTATGATAAGAATAATGTGATACAATCAAAATAAAGAAGTAAACAATGACAGGTTAAACGGTCAACAATAGCCAATCAAGATTGTGGTCTACAGGACGAGCTGGGAGTCATATGTGGAGAAACTCGGACGCTTCACTACTACTTGAAATTTGTGCTGATGATGGCGTTCAGAACGATGAAAGCTCCACGATCGAACAATTCAGCTCAGTGAATAAAATCACCAAAAACATCTGCCTGAGCTTCAAATCTTATCCATCAGCTCACTGTTTTCTACATAAATATGATTTCGTTTATTGGTTAACCGTTTTTTCTTTCATGGGTTATACTATTATGATCAGACATTTGTATATAAACAACTATTTTGAATTCCACTCTTTAGACCTAGTCATTCGCTCAGTTTGTCGGTTTTTTTAATATTTCCTCGAGTTAGGATATATGTATTGTTTCCGTAAGCAGATGATCGATTCAATCATTCGATTCATTCTAATGATTCTATCAAATGACATAGCATAACTCATAACTTAAAAAGTAAAGGTTAATGCCGAAATACCAGTACAAGAAGTGGGGTTCAAGTACCCAAGCCATAACTTTAAATTTGGCAGTATAATGTTTTCATTTGTTGTACTACATAATATGTTTTGAGAAGTTATTATGTTTCGGAGTATCAACAGCACACTACGTAATATGAGAATTAGTGATTGGCAGAACTAACCGGCACGCCCTCTGATAATCACGACTGAATCAGAAGTAAAGACGGAGAGCACAACATATTCGTTCCAATGTACTGTACTGAAGTTGAAATTGCGCGACTAAGTATGCATGACACAATTATTACTTAGCAGAAACAACACGAAAATGTTATTTTCAACATAACGGTTAGTATATTAGTCAGATAGTTTGAACAACATGAACGTCGTTAACATCAATGTAGCAAAAATAGTGAATCTTGAGCTCTAAACGTCTCTAATAGGTTATACTTCGCAATACTAAATCCACGTATTGTATACTTCAAAACTCTATCTTTTCTGTCATGCAGAACTATGCCCATCGATCATGTACTCAAATGTATAATTAATCCTCTTGATTTCCCTGAAGACAACACACTGTATTTTACTTAGGCTATCTTTAAATAAATGAGTTTGAATTCTAATTGCATCATCGGCCAAAGATGGTTTTTGTAAGGATCATATGGTATACAAACAATCAGCTACCAACGATTAATATAGGGAAAATATGAATTTAAGGGTTAGTAATTTTAATCATAAATTATGCAAACTGCAAGCAGCCCAAATCTTTGTTGTGGGAGTCATAAGATTGATTACATGATATATATTGAATCAAATAATGAGTTTAAATAAACTGTAAATATCCTGCACTAGTATTTAGCGTAACCTTTCAACAACCAATATCTCCATTATACTTTCTGTAGGTTATCGTTGTAAACTTTTAAGAGATCATACAATGTAAGACAACAGGTACCTCAGTACTCACTTGTTTCAGGTAGTTACTTGAGTATTATCGGATTTTGATATAAATAGTTAGTGTGACTGACATTCACAGTTCACTGATATGAGATATTCGACCTGAGCGCTAAAACCACTTCAGACATATCTAAATATAAGAATTTCCATCGTTACGAACAAAATCGCAAAATCTATACAATTTAAATAGTCAGCAGAATGTCTCAATTGTAACAACCTTTGTCCTGCAAGATTCCTTAACTGTTATTCATCTTTAAGATATGATAAACGGCTTTTCATGGAGCGATATCATTCAAATGTGATTTCGTCCTCGAATTAATTATGTTGTAATACTGTTGTAATACTCATCACTTCACAATTATAGTGTGTAATAATCTAATTCATAATTTATGGTAAAGCTTACTTACCGCGGTTATCCATAAATGGAATCTTTTTTGCTCCAGTCACTAGGCCGTTTCTTTTTTTATTCACGTTTTCTGTTTCTGATGCTATTGTTATATCGTCTCCCAAGGACTCTAGGATAGGGCCTATATCGCTGTTGTTTACTTTTGAACTCTTTCTACCCTTGTTTTTTCTCAATATTTCAGAGGTATTAGCTTGGACCGTTGATTCAATAGTTTGTGCCATTACTCGTTTGCTTAAAAATCTATTTGAAGTTTGATTTTAAACATACACAAATTAAACGGTCTGATGATGGTGCAATGTTTAAATATTAAATAAATGAACTGGATGTCATAAGCACATCAATATCTTTTTTATCTTTTAGGAAAAAATACCACTACAATCAATACTAAGCAAATGTGTGACGACGTGACTTAAATCTATTGGCTTTTGTATTATTAATCATGGCTTTCAGGTGTATGGTTTAATTACTCGATTGGTATTAAATAGTCTGTACATAGTCAGAAATCAATGAACCACGCAAGCATATATGCACACGGTTTTGAGATAAAAGTTAGTCCTTTTGCTAGTATAAATACAAATAAGTTGGCTTACTTAAGGGCTGATCACGTACCAACCTAATCGTGACAATGTGAATCACTTTTGAATAATCAACTCAATGAAACCCAACACTATTTATCAACTCATTTGATTATGAAAGATCACTCAACATTGTGGGTAGAAATATCTTGTGGAGTCTTCGACACCATGGAGTACCTGCGAAAATCGTCATCGTCATCATCATCATCATCATACAGAACTCCTACGAAGAGGTGAATTGCAAAGTCACTCATTGAGAGTAGCTCACAAATCCATTTCAGGTAAGGAATGATGTTAGACAAGGTTTCCCACTCTAGTCTCTTCTCTTGCTTCTGCTTGCCGAATAGATTACGAAGATATACATACCTCAAGAGGAGCACGGAATATAGTGGGCATGGCAACAGACGCAGACGAAGATAGGTAGTGTATTATCAGCTCTTGTGAGAGTAATTCTCAACATTCAAATGGGAATAAGCAACATCCTGAAGTACAACACGACAAGCTTCACATAAATTAAACTTGATAGCGAAGCTTTTGAAGGATCGAATACTTCACGTACTTGGGTTAGCATTATTGATAAACAAAAGGATCTTGATGCAAATGCCAAGGCACAAACTGTCGAAGCAAAGGCAACATTGCTATAATCAAAAAATATCTGACACTCAAACGAACTGTCATCGAACTTAAAACTTTCGACACAAAAGTTGAAACGTCTCTACTGTACGCAACTGAATCGTAGGGAACTACCACGACAATTACCAAAATAGCATTGGTATTTACGAAAGAATTTATTCTCAAGAATTTATCAGAGATAATCTAATGTGGTAGAGAACATATTACTTGCCAGTTAGTGAATAAGTTTAAAAGAACGCTAGAGGTTGCTAAAAGACTTTGCGGAGGTCATTAAGGTCACCAAGAAAACCTTAACTTGGAATTTTCAAGGTAAAAGGAAAAGAGGCAGGACATAGAACAAACGGCGACTGAAGTTGCTAGAAGACACCACGACTATAAATCGTCCCTCGGGACGACTGGGAAGTAGAAGTCAGGAAAAAATAGTTGTAGATTATTGGGCGGTGATCTGTGCCAAAAACGAGTAACAGACTTCAGAAAGTAAGAATGCTCCTTGTATTACTAGTCACATCACCGCCTTGTATGCAGTAGCTGTTGTTGTTCTGGTTTTATATATCCGGAAGAATTGTTTAAAATTAAACGTAAAAGTTGAAGACAGGAGTTTATTTAAAGCTACTTTGTGAAACACAACTTTGTATATCAAAATTCCGTCTGAAAGTGAATCAAACTTACAGACTGAGTAACTTCGGAAAAGTAACTACACTCTTTTCGTGATGACCATACACCCCGCTTCACCTGAATCCGACTGTAAATAAAGATTCCATATTTGGAAGTAATAGAACAAATTACTACAATGTTTTGGTGATTTGAAAACGTTTGGTGGCTATAAGAACAGTGATTTCTGATCACAGTGCAAACAATCATGTAGACCTGGAACCATCTAACAAGAAAAATGATTATTCGAACGTCTCAGACTGAGCAAGTAAACGGTATTTTCATCAATTTATAGTGCGCACCAGTATCTTAGTTAGAATACATCAGAATTTCACAGATGTCCGCATCCTTATGTTATATATATTCATGTTACTCTTTCATTTATTAATTGGCACATCCCTGATCAAACCACTACTTATAATTAACAAATACATGTAAGTTGTGCACTAATTTAAAAGCCTAAATTCACAATGATGAAAATTCACACTTTGTCGTAATAAAATGAGGTAAACTTACACAATTAAAATTTTCGCAATAATAAAAACACATACTACATAATCCGTAGGTTCACATCCATCATAATAAAGCGTTATCTTTTTGAGTCAGAGATATTGTTATGTCTGGCCTGTAGATTCATTAGCATATTTAAAAAGCAAATAACAAGATAAAAATGTTTATCACTCACAAACCTATCATAAATCGTAATGTATAAAGACCTCTCTCACACTAACCAAACGTAAATTCTACGAAAAAAAACTTTTCTTCCGTTATTTCTGCAAGACAATATTCATAATTCAATTTAAGGGTTGAAGTATAGCTTGATGAATGAAATAAGACCAATAATAAAAATCGACTAATAAATAATCAGTTACGAACTTGCAAGCTTTTAATCAAGATGATCTCTAAGTATACACCTGGAACAGGTATGTGGTTTTAACTGTATCACAACTGTGATGAACAACTTGACCCGTTGACTGGAATTCAGTTTCAGTTTGGAAAGGACAGGAGGCTTGATGGCCTTTGTTAGTCCTGGCAATGATGGTCTCTCAGTCAATTCAACTTTCTTTGAAAGAATCGACAGATGGAGTCTCAACCACGTGCTGACGTAATGAATTCCACTCGTTGATGATTCGATGGGAAAGTCGATGGTCAACTGACAAGTAATTTGTTCCGGGCTCGTCAACTTTTTTGGAGTGTCCTCGTAAAATTTCTGTTTTGGAGGACAAGAAAAACCAGGGCATGTCAGGCGCAATATTATAACTAAGTAGTTTGAATACTGCAATTAGATCACCTCTAGTTCTTCTATATGACAACGAAAATATGTTTAGTTTAGACAATCAAATAGTCGAGCATAATACGGGAGTATCGCTTTTCCGGGAATCAGCTTAGTTACTGTTTTCTGAACCTTTTCCAAAAACTCACTGTCTTTTTTAAACAGGGACTAGCCGTTTGTATGTAGTACTCAAATTTAGGACGCACTAACACTGTATACAAAGTCAAAAATGTTTTAGCATCGATGTGACTAAAGGCCCTACGTATTGACCACAAAGTGTCAAAACTTTTGGCAGCTATGGCATGGCAGTGTGCAGTGCTTTTTAAGTCTTGGCTAACGATGACTCCTAAGCCATTGTGTGTCTGGACAACGGGTAACTCAACGTTATTCACTGTGTATGTATCTATACCTCGTTGACTAATGTACACCACAATACACTTGGAAGTATTTATCAGCAACTGCAAAATTTTAGACCATTCTGATAATTTTTCCAAGTCATTTGAGGCACCAAACTATCATCTTTACTTTTAATGCCGCTCTAGATATCTTGACATGGTCAGCATATAGTAAGATAAGAGACGAGAAAGGTCATTTTCATGCAAGAGGAACAACACCAGCCCCAAAACTGTACCCTGAGGCAATCCGCTAAGCACAGTTTCCCAGCTAAACAACTTTGACTTCACCCGTACTATTTGTTGGCGCCCAACTAAGAAGTTTTTTATCCACATCAATAGATTGCCTACAACCCCGACATTTCTTAACTTATATAACAGCCGATTGTGTGGAACTTTGTCAAAAGCTCTGCTGCAGTCAGTGTAGGCTACGTCTACAGGTAACATCTGGTCCCTAAGAGCGCACCGGCTTTCACGAGCGACTAATAAGTTAGTGAGACAGGAATAACTTATTCTGAAATCATGCTGTTTCTCTGAAAGGATCCGGTTTTCATCGACGTACTTAAACAGCTCCTTTCGAATGATCTTTTCTAAGATTTTAACAACCATGCTAGATAGGTCAACAGGTCAGTAGCTCTCAAGTCTATGTTTCGAACCTGTTTTGAAGACGGAACTTACTATGGAGTTGTTGCAGTCTCTTGGCAATCCATCCTGGGTTACGGATAGATTAAAACAAATACTTAGCGGATTCTCAACGAAGTTAGCTAATTCCTCCAGTAACCTTGGATGTAGTTCATCAAGTCTCGTGGATTTGCTTATATCAAGATTATTTAGCAGACCAGAGTCATCGATTTCTTTAATGGTCACGCTGTCCAGTGTTTGTGTGGGTGCATTCGTTTGGACTGACGGAAAGGGTGATTCTACGGTATTCACACATATGTAATAGTTTGAGAATACATGCGCCTTACCATAATCGTCCTCCACTAGTGACGCGGCAGTACTGCCTCCCCATGGAGCAGGAATATTTTCTCTTCTCTTTGTCCTTTGGTTTATATAAGATTACAAGCGTTTAGGACATTCTATGGATTCCTTAACAATCTTTTCTTCGTACAACTTTCTAGACCGACGGAGGTTCGAGGACAGGTATTCGAATGCAAGAAATGCAAGTTTTACGGCTGCATACGAAGTAACCTATATCTATTATTTAAACTCCGGGTGCCTTAACTAATCTCTTTCTGTCACCCGCTGTCAACGAAAGACTTTGGTAAGCTGTACGACATCGCGACACAAGGTTACTTTCACGATATCAGAGACAAGATGATAAAGCGTAATAGAAGAAAACAAGATCAAGTATGTACTAATTTAAAGTGATAACTTCCCTACGGCTCTATAGCTACAGTCAACAATATTAACGAACATAACCGTAAGTTCAGCTTCAAGTATTTGGCTGTGCCAAAACATGTCATTGAGATATGGTTGTGACTTTTTTTCTTTTTTTAACTCAGAATTCACGGGACGACTACCTCAATTCTCAATAGCCGAACGAACGTAGCTTAAGGTAATACTCCGTGAAATTTTCTTCATGTTCTACCTCATTTTTAATAAACAATGTTTGGTAAGAGAGCTTACTTCATTACTTACATGGAAAACTATAGAAGTGTTGAGAATGTGTGTTTGAGTGTCAGTGAAATTTTGATGAAATGCACATTCCTTATGAATAAAACATCACCTATTCCTTCTTTTGCAGATAATTTCAAAGAACAATGAATTAGCAATTGCAATGGATATGCAAAACAATCTATGCTTAAGCTTTTGCTCTAATGTTCTACAATAATACGCTTTTCCTTCTAAATAAAATTTTCAAAAATATACCGGTTTTCCAGTACACTGCAGATTTATTTTGGTCTGTTGTTGAAAATAAAGGCGAACATAGGAGACCATTGGAGTTATGTCAATGGATCGAAAATAGGGAGTTCTGTGTGTATTTAGGCGAAAAGTAAACAATTGAGCGTATAAGTAGGCAATTTCGTGAGAAATTAGACGAAAAGTATACAATTCAGCGGACATTTAGGCGAAAAGTAGACAATTCGGCGGATATTTAGGCGAAAATTAGACAATTCAGCGGATATTTAGGCGAAAAGTGAGTAAATTATCGACTAAACGGCGAAAAAGGGCGAAATCCGCAATATTTCCCTTGGACAGGCGAAAAAAGCGACATTCTGATGCGTTTTCCTCTTTATTTCCCTTTTGTTCGCCTTTATTTCCCTTTTTTGGTTGTCTAGGATAGTCCAAGGGATGTGGGGTGCGGTAACATATGAGTGAATCCGTTGACGAGATGCACGTATATTCTAACTAGTAGCAACTGACAAACGCAATGTTTTAATAAGACAAATCAATTATTAATTTCAAGTCCAAAGGCGTTTCAAACCCACCGTGTTGACAACGATAAGTAGCCTTAGAATTTAAAAAGCGTACAAATCTGTTTAATTACATTAGATACAACAATGGTAAAATAAAACAACATTTTGCGACAGTAAGATGAGTATGATCAATTCTGAGAAAGGCTTTTGTTATTCTTTGAAAACAGTATTCAAATATCGACTAACTCATTGTTTTGTGAAAAATTGTAACTTTTGACAATTTCCATATTCTTTACCTTTCCAATAGTTTTATAAGCTTTTACCTGTTTTAATACTTTGTTCATAACTCTTCACATACCAAAATATATGTGAACTACAGTTTTCATTTCGTTATCACGTAGACATATTCTACAGTGTAGTTTTTTAGTTGTTATTAACGTGGCTGATATCTTCTCAAGCTGCAAAAGTATTTCTCCGATGTAAAATGCTTTATGTGCATATCACGTCCTCATTTATTCCAAGATAAATTATTGTTATTTGGGGGTGATCTGTCCATTTTGATTCTATGACGTGATCAGACGCTTCTCTGCTCACAGATATCCAGAGGCGGCATTCGTGACATGTAGAAAACATGCCTCTTATTCACAACGGCGTAGTAAAGCCTAACTATTCTCCTGTGAATAAGGACCCTCAAATTCGTCGTCATTCAACAAAACGAGACGATATGCAATCTGTTGTTGACACGGAGGCAAATAAATCCCCAAAACCAATAGCTTTGTAATCTTCGACATTTGATGCTGAACAAATTAGTTTTAAAGGACTCACCTAGTTGAAGGCGCTTGGTCACACATCCACATCAGATCACGGGCGGAAACGCGGTGCTCAACCTTGCTAGCCAGTTTAGGTCAGTCACTTCTCGATTTATTGATAACCTATCAAATATATCTTCGAACCTTCTCGCTTCTGAATTGATTTCACTGGGTGGGCACGATCCCATTATAGTTGTTACTGGTTAAAGTGTTGTCCAACTACAAATGCTTTTGGCATCTACAGTGAGTAAGGAGAAAGATATTACAACATGTGAAAAAGATGTGGCTAACTCAGCAAGATCGAACACATTTTTTACAGTGATACACTACTTGATGATTATTATGGGCATGATTACTTGTTTGGAACAACAAGTTATTTATTAGGGCCTTGCCAGGAAGTTCATTGTTTATTTTATTTATTTGAACACACAAATAATGGCGCGAAGACACCGAATACATGTGCGCCACATAAATCACATATTTGTGTGTGGGCTGTGATACTGCTGTGATACCCATACCGAAGCACGTGGTTTTCTTAAGGGGCAACACCAGGAGCCTTTGGCCAAAAGGTCTGATTCACAGTGCAGTGGATGCAGTTTCATGTTAAGCAGTGATCAGTAACTGATTCCTACCCCATTTGTTCCTTTACGACCTTGAAGATCATGATCATCATTGATTTGATAGCAAGGTTTCCCAACCTTCTAGGTGAACCCTTTGTGTTCACTAACCAAGATAAAGCTCTTGACGTTCGCTTTTCATCCTTTCAATGTCTTATACAACGGTGGGTTAGACTTTCCTGGCTGTGTACGCGTTACCATGTGAGAGCATTTCGAGATAGAGTGCTAGCTCTTCCCACCCCGACCGTACCAGGTCATCTGTAATGTTTTCAGTCACGTTCGGATGTTTTGATAATATAATTTGCTGTGGTGAAAGATAACCTGTTAAGTCAACTGGAAAATTTTGTATGGTGTACATTCGAGTCTTAGTTTTTGTCTATTAGTTTTGTGAAGATATCCTAGTTTTTTATGCCAGATGTTAAGATCCTTGCGACCATGGCTCGTGGACAACAGAGGATCTTGCTCATTTTGGTGTTTGGTAAACACTAAGGTCAGAACATTGTCATCATATTTGACTTGAGGTCATAAGAAATGAATAAAAATTAAAAACTCATATTCCATAAACCTGTTGTCATGAGAGTTCCATAGGTAAGATTAAAGAATATTTATCTCGTCATATGTGACTACTAATGACACCCATATATGGGCTTCACTTTTTTGCTTATTTCCAAGAAAATTAAGCAAACGTTGCTTGAATGCCAGCAGCATTCGTATGTATCTAAGCGAAATATCATTAATTCTCTTAGGTAAGACCACCCTAATGTCATGGTCCCATGTTTGGTACTAAAAATTCTTCCTTCCGTTTATATATGTGACCTTCTTCAGTAAGTATCACTTGATTTATGACGTCTTGCCGGCAATTTTAAATTTGAGAGAAGTTTGCAACTGAGACGATGAGCTGATTGTTTTAGAAGACCTGAATCGCAGAATAAGTTGAGCAAATAGCAGCGAACTTAAACTCACTACTACTAATTGCTAAATAATTCATCTGAGATGTATCGGAAACATCGCATACAAATTGTGTGACTCCCGTCTGGATGTTTTCCATCTCGAAATAGAGTATTGATATCCTTTGCTCTGAAATTCTTCGCTAGTCGCGACAAAAATGTCTTACGAGCAAAGAGTGCAATAATAACATTGGAGCACATTTCTTGTAAGTTTGGAGATTGAACGTTCTACTGAATTTCTAATAGTTTGATACAACCTCATTAAGGTATAGAAATGCAGTTATTCTCCACCTTTTATGAGAGGATGAGAGTAAAGATGAACGTACTTAAAGGTGAGAAACAAAAATAGTTTCAGGGCTAAATTCAAACCGTAATGACGACATCTCATTTCGGAGGATTTGTAGCCGTTAGAGTATGAGTGATTCAGATGTAACCTCTTACGGAATCACAAGAAACCATTGAACTCCCTTATTTATTGCTTAAACTCAGTCTCAATACAAACGTACGAACGTAGAGTAGTAGAATGGCGGTCGTTCACAGGCCAAGTCACGACTTTACTGATAATGGTCGAGCAATGAAATGACTGGAACGCGTCACTATACATCAACATCCCTGACTATATGAAAGCATTCGAAATTGTGGTACTAAGACTTTATTGAAGCGTCTTGGAAACTGTGATGTGAGTGGCTGAAAAAACCGAATTTTAACTGTAGAGCCTGGTGAGAAAGTTAATCAAAACAATTATTCCTCAAATATTCTATATTTAAATGTTACAAATTGCTTAGGATCTTCATATGCACACCGAATTTCTTAAAATTCCCAAGGAACTAAAGCTATAGGTCTGAAAAGAAATCAAGAATGAAATAAACTTGTATTCACAATTACGTACCGTGAAAAAGGATTGAAACTGCACCAGTAGTTCTGCTAGGGCTGTGTTGCATGCTATTTATATTGACATAAGTAGCATATAACGCGAGTCAGGAATGTAATATATGGCAGCAGAAGATTGGGAAGATCAAGAAAGGAAGAACGGGAATAGAAAGCAATTAGTATAGAAATGCAAGAACAATGAAGTCCGAGACAATTACTGGACATTTTGCAAACTAGGTATTATAGTATGGTTTTTCTATTTTACCAAGAAACTCTGTAATGTTGTGCTAAAAACAAGATTCGTATATCCTCACCTGTGTTCTCGTTTACTACATTTGGCGTCGCTGCCTCCAGTTAGGATGAAGATTCCATGGCCGAAGGAGCTTGAGGATGGAGATGTGGTGAGATTCCTGAAGGAATTTGAGGCCGTGGCGGAACTAGTGAGAGTGAAGGAGATGAAGGCGAAGATGGTGGTGCTGGGGACGCTGCTGAGAGGTAGGGCAAAGGCTGTATATCACAGCTTGGACGTTGCCGACGAAAAGACGACACGGGAGGCAGTCACGGGGTGGTTGATGATGAAGTTCTACATTTCAGTGGACAGGGAAGGGGCACTGCAGAGGCTCCATTTGGCAAGGTTGTCGGTCGTTGGTGACCCACTGGTGTTGGCTGTGGAGCTTACCAGGTTGTCGCGCCGTGCGCTGCCGAATCTGGATGAAGAGTCGGAGGCACAGTTATTAGTGTCTCAGTTTATCGAGAGTATGCCTGCTAACGTTTCCTAGCAGCTGAAACTAATAAACGCAGAGCAACCTTTGGATATCAGTGAACTGGCGAAGGTGACTCGACAGCTGATGACACGAACAGTATCTCCAGTCGGGTTTGGAAAGCTGGAGATAAGTAGTGTCGAGAAGAAGATTGAGGAGCTCAAGCGTGAGAATGCGGCAATACGAGTGAATCATAAAAGGAATGATAAATGTTACGCTTGTGGAGGGACAGGACATTGGAAGATAAACTGTCCGACAGGACGAAGATGCAGATGTTTTAGACATAACGTCGAGTGGGTGATGCTGAGATAAATTTTCCGTTCGTGGTAACCACAAGCTTATCGAGACCGATATTAGGAGCAGATTTCCTAAGAGAAGCAACAGCGATAGTTGACTTAAGAAGCGGTATGGTGGTCACAAGCTATGGTTCACTGTTAATGCACAAAAGTAGCGAAGTGACTGATATAAGAGTGGCAACGGACATCTCGATGAAGAAACCAAACATTAGCGAGTTGTACACAAAGTATGCGAAACTGTTCACCGGAGATGGGGAACCGTATGAATTTTGTGACAAAGTAAATCCCGATAAAGAACGATCGGGTAAATATGTTTGCGACACGTCGTGTCCCGGTGCATTTAGGGGTCGAGGTATATCGACAGGTCCAGGTGTTGAAAGAAGGTATAATTGAGGAAGCGGGCAGCCCGTATAGCTCGCCAGTACTCTTGGTAAAAAAACCGAATGAAAAATATAGATTTTGTGTCGACTTCAGAGAAATGAATAATATAACAGACCTGAAACCTTTTAAAATGCTAACAGTGGTGGAAACATTAGATCGGCTACAGAATGCTACGATATTTACAGTGCTGGATTTACAGTCAGGTTAGTGGCAACTGCCTATAAAACAGAGCGATCGAAGCAATGCAGCATTTACTAAACGTGATAAACAGTATCAATTTAAACGATTGCCGTCCGAGTTGGCGGATGCACGTTCAGGAGAATAATGACGCTACTGCTCAAAGATCTAGACAACGTCGAGGTATATGTCGACGATGTAGTTGTGTACAGCCAGACAGAAACGGATCACGTCAAGCATGTGAAAGCAAACTTAA